AAAGTAAAGAAGAGGTGGCAAGTTGTCGCGTCCATTAAACGGCGTTCACAACCCCATAATATTATTTCTTTCATCCAATATCAGCATTTCGAACTCTCGCTTGATCGTGGCTTTACATAATTATGTCATCAGCATTTTTGACGTGTCCATCAGCCTTTGGCGCCCAAGTCGGTGGTAGTAAAGACGTACATATCGTGGCGGCGCCGGCGTCAGTGATGACGCCTGCGCAATAAAGCACATCTTCCGCTCACGCGTGGGCGTCGAAAGCGATGCCGAAATCGCCGACTTGTACGTTGTAAACACAGTACCTAAACAAAGAAAAATCCTCTCAGCTTGAGCGGTATTATGATATGGGTGCGTTTGACTGAGTTTAAGGTGTCAACGAATATTTATAGAAGTAAACGAAAGCCCATTTTTGTACAAGAGAAAAAACGACAGTATACCTTTCACCACGAGTAATTTCAACACTTAAAACATCAACGAAAGTAAAAAATATGTCATAATAAATGTGAATTAAATGTTTTAGATGATTGTAACGTGCCACAAGATTCTTTAGAGCTTTTATACGTAGGAGGAACTTTTATACACAAATACTCAAGCATTTTCAGTACCGGCTGTAAAACCTGTAAAATCAATGTAAATAACAATAAACAAACAAAAACCCAAAAACTACGACAAAAAACGACGATGAAAAAGTATAAAACAAGATTTTCAGAATACTGAACTGAACAAAGTTGCTAATGTAGTTGCATAGTAATTTTCATGTTTGGAAAACCGCAGTCACAAACAAAAACACAGTTCAGTACAGGGTCTTCTCATAGGTAAAACATAACTAGTGACCGACCGAATATTCGTTTTCGTTTTCGGCCATTTTCGGCCAAAAAATGGACATTCGGCCATATTTTCGTTTTCAGTCAAAAACCAGCCGAAGCTTCGGCCAAACCGAATATCAGAAATACGTGAATAAGATGGGGACGTTTATCGTTCCGATATCTTCGGGAGTGAATCTGAATATGCACTCATGGTTCCAATCAGACTTGAACGGACACGGTATTGTCACACTCTTTTGAAGTTTTGAAGTGAGGTTACGTTGTAAAGGGAGTCCAGCGAAAATTTTCCAAGTTCAAAATTGAATACAAATAAAACCAAAGAGTTTTCATTAAGTTTGATTGTTTCAAAATAGAGTCTAATGCGGATCTGAAATACGCCATGAGTCACTGGTCGGGAGCCTACAGAGCGTTCGCAGTTGAGCAATAAGTATTTGAAATGTAGTGTCGAATGTGCGACTTTTTCTTGTGGGGATATCTCAAGTCAAAAGTTTACAGCAAATAATCCTTAAATAATTCAGGTTCTGTAAGAAAATATCCGCCGTGAAGTTGCAGGAAAATTATTAGCGCGATTTGCTCTCGCATTGTTGCGAATGTAAGGGTCCGGCTGTGAGAGTACCTATAGTAAAACGGGCATCATTTAAAAGACATTGCCTATAAAGAAATAAATCCGCATTGTTAAACTCCAGTTTGCATTAGTAATAAATAATAAAAAATAATTAATTTATTTGTATGAATCATTTTTGAAGTTGAAAAATTCCCACTGGACACTCTTTATTTCTTCTTCACTTCCCAATATTTCAATATAGGTACACCGGAAATAATATTCCACTAAGAATTCATAATTCAATTTTTTGTGTTTTAATGCCGGTTTTCTTTAATCAATCCTTATCAAAAACAACTGTCAAACGTCATTATGTTTTTGGTCAAAACATTAACATTTTATATAATTTCAGATTGAAATTTCAGAGTTGAAGGTCATTTTCGTTTTCGTTTTCGTTTTCGGCCGAAAATGAGACTGCAGCCGAAGCTTCGTTTTCGTTTCCGTTTTCGGCTGAAAATCCATATTCGGTCGGACACTAAACATAACCAAATAACCAGTAATGAAAAGTGATGTCAATAAAATGATTGGTCTAAATGTCCCGGTATCAAAGGTCTTGAATTGTAAATAAATTTCAATATCAATAATGTCGCAAACACGATTGGTCCAAATGTCCCGGGATCGCCGGTCGCTGCCCCCGGAAGCGCGGACGCACCTTGGCGTGCGCGTGCCTCGCCGCTGCCACTGCTCCTAGCTGCACTTGGGCCTAGTCCAATTTGCCCGAGAAGGGTCGCATTTGTTTTGGAAATTCCTTAAATGTAACAGTAATGTAACATTCAGTCTAATGTATTCTGGGAAGCTTTGCATGGTTGGTATCTCGAGACAAGTAACCCCCTTTAGTTTAGTGATGTTTAAAATTCTTCACTTTTAGTTACTTTATGTAGAGTGAAGGATGTAAAGCCTGTTTTCACCATCAAGCCCTAATTTTTAAGTGACCCCTTTGAAAACAAAATTCCTGTTATGTGTTACCAATGTTACCATAGGGGTCACTTAAAAATTAGGGATTCATGGTGAAAACGGGCATAAGCTTCGTTTTGTTGCTTCTAAATGGAGTAACTTAGCTCAGCTTTAATCCGATCTAAAATGAGAAACTTGAAAATCAGCGTGAGCTCAAAAAAATCGTGACTAAAGATCGACGGATATAACTTTTTAGAGAATTGACGTTGAAACGTAAAACGTGTGTCACCAGTCAAACATTGCGGTAGAGATTGATTGTCGATTTGGAATATTTTCAGATGCGAGAGATTATTTGCGGAACTCATTGTAATAGATTGTACCATATAAAACTTTGACTCTATCTTGCCGTCTTCTTTACATCGAGCTACTAGTTCTCTAGTTAGTTCAAGTGTAGTATTTTGTAATTATTTGCTTAAAATTAATTAGGCTGGGTTGCACCATCTTACTTTAACTTTGACAAACGTCAAAAATCTGTCAAACTCCATACAAAAAGCACCGGTAATCGTCGTAGTCACCGTTAAAATTAGGTGGTGCAACCCAGCCTAAATATGTTAAAATGATTTTTTTATGCTTAATTGAACAAATCGTTGTAATATAATTTTCACACATTTCACAGACCTTATCCTTATTTTTAAGAGGCTCTCTGAAAATAAGATCACACTGATGAAACACTGAGCTTTCTCGCGCCCACTGAAACTAGTTAAGCTACCATAATACGAGCCTTGTATCTAGCTAAGTGACTTCCGAGTTACGACACTGCTAAGTTGGCTCGTCGGCTGCGAAGAGCCTTTTCTGGAGGCGTACGTGCGCCGCGCCCGTGTCGATCGTTATGTCATCGCTTTGAGACTCGGGTTTCAGAAGAAAATGTTTGCGTTAGCTTCCATTGTTTTTATGTAGAGTTGCGAAAATCACACTGAACTGTTATTAGACGTAAGTTAGATAGGTACCTTTTCATTACGTTCTTTAAAAGCAACGTTTTCTCCAGATTTCCTGTAATTTCGCGAATTCTCGTGAAATAAAGAATACGAATTCGAATTCCAAGAAGCGGTATTGGCGGCACTGGTAATTTGCATTAACACATTTCAGCGAATAACGATTGGGTGGAATGAATAGCCAATGAAGTGCACTCGGAAGGCTGGCATTTGCGCGTCGGTGCTAATTAAACGGTCCATTTTGCGCGCGCGCTGGGTGGTGCGCGGGTCTTATCGCGCTCTGGCGATGATCTTTTGAGATTACCACGTTTCAGAAATTAGATCGCCTACAAAGTACATATTCATATCATTTATCGCTCTAATATGGTGCTGGAAGTTTGTGTACAGCTAAAGCTGATTATTACAGTCATTTTGACTTTGAAGATCCCTGTCGTAAAAAACTACCCAGATGAGTGGTTTGATATTGTTTGATCGTATGTAATTACTATAGCAGAAACTTTTTAGCCTAACTTTCGCAAGCTTGGCGCATGAAAGCTGGGCGCATTTTGTTGCCTTTTTGCTATCGTTGCTTTTTATTGTTTACATACCTAAGTACTTTCTATAAATCATGCTGTCAAATATTCAACGGACCTGTTTTACATTTTGAAGAGTCTCAGAATCAACTCTGTAGAATGGTTTGTGTAAAATTTCTTCAAATATCTTCAGATTACTTATTTTTTTTAAATTTTTACAGTTTTGTATAAGTCTTGAGAAGAAAGGACATCNGTACAACAGTTCGTTTAAGCCAAATACGACTGGTCCTGCACTGCCCGCATACTGGCTCTTCCCGCAAAATTCACCAGATCGTCGGTCCACCTAGTGGGACTTAGTAATTTCATAAGTATGTGCATTGAATTATAATTTGGAAATAAAATGAAAGTAGATTTAAATTATTGTACAAAAAATATTTTTTCGCCACAAGTGTCCGTCTTTTAAACAACAGTTTCAATCTTAATTATAACATTACACTTCGTGTTCCAACTTCCAATGCTGTGGTTTTGATCTGTATAAATAATATTTAGGTCATAAACCGTCTAGACGATGTGCGACATGCGTCTAGGTTAGGCAATAATATAATCTAACCTACGCTGGGGCGGAAAAACCAGTCCAATGTCTTACGTAAAATCTGTGTCATGAAAGTTACATAAGTTTGTTTATTACCCTTAAGGGGTGGAGTTTGATAAGATTTCCTCCAACAAAACATACAGATAAATAATTTTCTTCCTTTTCTGAAATGGTCTAGTGCTTTATTTTTTAGTGGGAGGGTGTTTTTGAGACGTCGAACTTCAGCAAGACTTCAAATATGTTTGAAATGTTTCAGAATTGTCTATCATACTCCTCCTGTGTCACTCCCATACCTCTGGCGTTGACTCATTTATGCGCTAAAATTATAATTTAATATTCATTGGCACAGAATTTTCAGATCAAATTATCTTACTTTATCTATGTGCTAAAGTAACAGTGGGAAATTAGTTTTAATTGCTAACCGATAGGAAAGGGCAAGTAAGTGCAGTGTTATCGTAACTGGTTTGAACAGATTTATAAAAGTGCTGTCACGAGTTCCTACGTACTCGTAGCAGACAAGGTCACGACAATTCCCCCCCAGTCACTGTTTACTGGGAAAGAGATAGAATTAGTCATTGTTTACGCCAATATCTATTGAGAAAAACAAATCTAATTTGAAAAAATACGACGTAAGCGACGGCACTGACCCTTACAAGGGGCCAACAGGAAATCGCATCTTATTTGATAAGTGTAACGGTTAAATCTGGATGGATGGTGATAATTCGGCTAGTACGTACGCGAGTTATATCTTCGTACAACACAAACATGATCGTTATTCTCTGTTCATATTATATGTTATGTTGGTAACTAGGTTTCCATTGTTGTAACCCATAGAAAAAAATTTTTGGAACTATGGCGGTATGTGATGTCCGAATATTCATTTATTGAAACAATTAAAAAAATCTACGTAAATTGTCGCGAATGTTGTTGAAATAACTGTGGAATACACGCAAGACTAAAAATAGGTTCAGGAAAATGAAAATTTTTGTACCGTTTTCTTACTATCTCGTAAAAGGCGGAATGTTTATAAAGGACGGTAGACAGCATAAGTAGTTTACATGACCTCAAACTTTACCTTGTTTTGGGTACAAACCTCAGTGTTGCATATGATGGAAGTGCAGAACATTATCAGGCAAGTGAGGAATGTGATGAGGCGCTTCCTGGAGCGGAGAGCTGGTAATTCGTCGACTACCCCCGCTATCACGGCTTCTATGGTCACAAACTGAAAAACAAGAAATGAATAAGGTCATTTTTGATTCAGTATAAAGGTTATTTGATTATAGATTTATATTATAGATTTAACTTCCTTATCGCTTTGCCAATAGGTACCTACTCCAAATGGGGAAAACAGACAAATTATGCAAGATTATCGAAGTCCTATAGTGTACAAAATATTTGTGATTTAAAAGCATAGATTTTTTCATGAAGAGATTTTTTAATAGAATATCTAACCATAGTTACCTTGTTACTTACCATAGTATCAATTCCAAGGAAAAACAGCATGACAAAGAAAGCCAAGGCCCAAAAGTTTGGAGCTGGCATCATAGAGACTGCGGCTGGGTAGGTGATGAAGGCCAGCCCTGGCCCAGCGTTGGCCACCTGTCCCACAGGCACCCCTGTCCGTTCAGCTGCGAAGCCGAGTACTGAGAACACTACAAAACCAGCCCAGATGCTAGTACCACTATTTACTAGGGGGATTGTTATTGATGACCTGGAAAAACAGATTTTAAATATTTTTAAAGTATATTAGTAAAGTAATTTGTATTATTCTAAGTTATTGAGTGCACTAACCGTAGATTCTTGTAATTGAATCTGTTGAAGCTTGCCATGCTAACCAAACCACCCCAGCCTGGTCCGAGAGAGTAAAAAAGTTGAGTGGCAGCGTCTGCCCATACCTGTGATCATAAATATGTCATTTAGTTAAATTCATAACTATATCCCATATTTAATACTAGGTATAAACTACCACTAATGTGAAGAATAGTAAACAAATAAAAACTCACTTTTGGGTTCCGTAACTGATCCCAATCCGGAAAAATATAAAACGAAATGCCATTCCATGCACCAGGTAGAGTCACTCCCCGCACGAACAGGCAGAAGAGAACCACATAGGGGAATATCACCGTGAAGTAAACGATCTGAAAATAAAGGACATCATCCATTTAGGTCCAAAATCAAAAGTGCCGGCCAAAAAATAAAAGTGCTGTATTCTGGTAGAATACGTCCGCCTTAGCATTTATTACTATGGCACCAAAGCTGTAGCACCACTGTGCATCGTAGTATTTGAGTTCTAAAAATATATGAAACGACTGACTTTGATCTCAAATACTACGACGCACAGTGGTGCAACAGCTTTGGTGTCATAGTAACAAATGCTAAGGCAGACGTATTCTGTCAGAATACAGCACTTTTTTTTTATTGGCCGACACTTTTGATTTTGAACAAAAAATGTATGAATAATTGATGACTTTTAGATCTCAAATACTCGACGCACAGTGGAGCTACGGCTTTGGTGCCATAGTAACAAATGCTAAGGCAGACGTATTATTTCAGAATACAGCACTTTTTTTTGTTGGCCGGCACTTTTGATTTTGGACCAAAAATATATGAAACGTGGATGATGTCCTTTGCAGTTATTACAAAATTGAATTAATGCCAATGCTGAACCGATTTATACCATATCCTTCTGCGATTCAGATAGTTCAATGATCATTCACTTGAAATGGGGTCCTATGTTAATGCGTCGGGTGTCGTGTATCGGCTGTCCGCTTTCTCAGGATGGTCGCCGGGCTCGCCGGCCGTCCGACCGCAGCCTCGACACGGCTCAATGCGCCTGGGAAAGGAGTTGTGAACTTTTTACCCTTTGTGTCGGGAGCTGGCGGCGACGGCGGTAGCGCCCGCTGGGAAACAATGAACCGATTAGTTCGACAGCCAACCGTTGAATCACGTGGGTATTGTGTTTGGGAACTCGCTGGAAAACATGCCTAATTGAAGCAATTAGACGAGATTTTCAATTACGCAGACCGCATTTACCTCATCTTGATTACAGTAATTGCAGTCATGTTTTGACCGAGCAACACGAATTGATTGTTACTTACTTGTTTTTGTTGCATAATTGGAAATGCCGTTAGCGTTACATTTACTTTAGTTTTTAATTTCATTGAAAATGACCGCAATACCATCTTCGTATCAAATAATATAAATCAAATACCTTCATCATTCACATACAAGACTTGTCTCGATTTGTAGCCCACAAAAATGGACATACACGTCACAGCTATAGTTGGGCATACATGTACAGTCTTTCGAGTAGGTACCACTTAAAATCTCACAAAACTTTAACCTTGAATGAGTGTTATTCGCTGTTCAATAGTAACAGTCATGTATAGAGACCTTGGCATCGAAGCAGACGTAAACATTAGTCGAAACAAATTAGACCATTCGGCTCAAAATTTGGCTTAGTCATTCCTCGTGAAAAGCTTTCATGGGTTCATTGGCCATAAATCGCCTTCTGATTCCATAGTGTATAGGAAGTGAGGCTTTATTTATAGAATCGGACGGTCGCACGCGTCGCCTGCGCAAGCCGGGGCGCAGTGCCGAGGCCGGCCGCGAGGGCGCCGCCGTCGCAGTGCTCCCCAGGCCTCAGTCACGGTCGGTGCGCGCCGCGATTCGGCTCTTTCGCGCTCCGCTCGATCCCCGTATCATCGCTCTTTGCGTTTTGAAATCGCTCACGAGTGGCAGTGATAACTTCGATTAGGACTCGCCGATAGCGGCCGTTCCAGTGCACCTGGACGATAAACCGTCGCTCGCGTCGGCCCGATCTGTGCCGAATTGAATTTTTCACGTCGACGAAACTCCGAGATAATTTCCCCGAGAGTGAATTTACACTGGATTCTGTTCGTATATTTAACAATATCCTTGTGTGAGTTGATAGTGCCGAGTCAGTGCTAGAAAATGCGTCCGAAGGAGGATACGGACACGAAGCTCCAAACGGGAACTTTCATATTGTCCGAGAAAATCGATGACACCAAAATGAAGAAGAACGACAAGGACTTGAAGAAAGAGATGAAGCGGCTGGAGAAGGAGAAGCAGGAGAGGGAGAAGCGCGAGAAGAAGGCGCGGGACAAGGACAAGGAGCGCGAGAAGCACGCCAAGAAAGGTACGTTTACCACATTTTGTATTCGCGGAATGATGCTATCATGATGTCATCTCTCTTGTTTATAGGTATCACGCCGTTCACTCTAGTACGATTGACGTCGTCAATTTTACATTTGTGTGTTAGTTTTGAAAAATATTCACACGGATAAAGTCTATTGTTAGCGTCGACCTTGGTTTCTACGTCATTTATCAAATACTTCTATAAGTTTACCTACTGATTGTGTATTATCTTCAGATTAGTTATCGCGGGGATTGTCGAATTTTCATCTAAGTTTTTATTTTTACGTTAGTGTCAAGTTATTTCTAGTGGTTTGAAAATGTACTATGTACGTAATGACGATTGTATTTAGAATCATAATTTAATTCTTAAGATTAGAATTTGATTCTAGTTTTTTTCCGGGATGAAAACCCACGCAGTGAAGTATTGCCCCTACTTGGGTTTATTATTCTATGTATTTGATTAAAACAACTACAAACAGGTTTGAAACATACACAAAACAGGTTTTAAATGTGATTTGCATTTTATAGGCGTGTTAAGACGATTTGCAGATGTTAGCAATGCTAACTGTGCTAGCAATATCAATAAACGTTCACTTGGAATGGTTAGTGGATTGTTTGTTTACGTACGAGCATCCATCTTGTCGGAGACGCCCTGCAAGCTGCGTGTCAATTACCTTTGTATTTTTAGAATTTTAATTTTCTTAAAATATCGCCGCACGCGCCCCGTACCTACCTCGAAGTGTGGTTTTGGCACTCGTCTCACCTAGCACACATTTCTCGGAATCCTTGTATAACAAGGCATTCAGATATTTCATGTTATGCTTACTATAATTATTCCTTGTTAAAATTCTAATTTGCTCATAATCTAAGTTTTTTGTTCTGTACACCGACCAACCAGTTCTCTGCTTTAGCGTTAACTCTACCTATCTTAATTCGTATAATTTAGCTTCGTTATCGTGTGCAAATAATTCTCAGATACACTAATTATGTCGTTTGACCTTACTGATATCGTTTCTGAGCTGTTGTCAATATGCTTTGCGCTTTCTTTGCTTTTGCAGATTTGCATTATGCCATACTATTTTCTATAAATTTTCCTATTTTGCGTTTCCTGCACTCCACTGGAACCGATCGCTGGCTTTCTGTTGACTATTGTGATTGTGTGGTGGTAACTGTTTCAGTTTCACCTCGATCATTATGTTATTGAAATGCAAGGTTTCTCTTTCAATCAATCGCATATACATTTGCGATCGCTTATGAATTCTCGGATTTCATACAAACAGTGCATGGAGCGTGACCGCACGGCACCGTACAGTCGTTGTGTAGACTTGAGAAAGATTTATGTTCGCCGCTTTACATACAAAAGTCGTCTACAGTGCATGTCACGATTTCGCTTGCATTTAAATGAGTTTCGGCCAATGTTCCGAAGGCCTCGAGAAAATGCAGTTTTTGTGAAGTCCCCGACGAGGGGTGGTCACTGGTCACGTCGCGCTACTTATTTGGCCAGTTTAAGCGAAACCAGCTTTCAAGCGCGCGGATGCGATCCCGCGAAATCCGGCTGGTCGCCGACTTCCTGTGTCGTCGCAGGTGAAATGCTGTGACGGTGTAACGATGTCGTCTTGACGTTCCCGAGAGTCGAGTTAATTGGGACTGTCTTTGTATAGGCTAGTTGCCTAAAAAAATTTTTTTAGTCCGTAATGTTTAATATCAAAAAATATTGGACACATATAATTTTATTTGTCAATCTAACAAATAATTACATAGTTATGGTGCGTTGAAGTTGCGCACGACGTCACAACGTGCGGCATTTTTAAGCAAGCGGTGACGTCACGGGCCTCTTCTTATGAACTTTGGGGCGCTGTATCTCTTTAAATTTTCATTAGTTTGAAAAAGTGAAAAATACGTGTAAAGTATTTTTTGATAAGTTAACTGACGGACTAATTAAAACTCTTGCTCTTTGACCCAGGCAACATCCCCATTGTAATCTAGGTTAGTTGCTGTTCCTTGCGCGAACTTTCGAGAAATTCCATTTTCCGGAAATGTGTTTCTAGAAATGTGGGGTACGACGTAAACTAACGTTAGTCAAACCAGTATCCGAGTCATCCCGCCTGTGGAAGCGTGAGTTATATCACCCGTTGCGTGCGGCGAGGCGAGGCTCCGCTGCGTCCGAAAACGAGTGCGCGCTCGTTACAGCTCAAATTATGATTCGGCCGAAACGAAGTTTTTTAAATTATGGCTATTTGTGTTTTTTGACTCGGTAATCAAAATGTTTTTATGGGAAGTAATTAATTATTATCAAAAACGCGAGAACTCGAATTTCTCACGCAATATTGTTAATATTATGGGCAATAAGCATTCTAAACAAATTAGTTTTGCATAGAGATCATGCAGACGATGTCAAAAATGTGTCATTGTTCGTGACGCGTTGTTTGTTTCGCTCCACGAGCTCAGATCGTTCACCCGTGGTTCAGGCGCATTATGGCTCGGAGACAAGGCTGGCTGCAGCAGCGTTCCCACGAAGAATGCATTCATTGTGATGTTTGTTGTCGCAGATCACTTCCCATCGCGCGCCGACATTGGCACTCGTCGCAATAACCTCGTTCCTTTATGATACGACCCACACGACTGATTTGTGACCCTCGCGACCTCATCAATTGACTTCTGGTCAAAATAATTTACATGAGCACAGAATTTATGGTAATTTGGCATGATTGTTTTGTTTTCCTATGTAAATTAATATTGTGGGTTTTTTTAGGATTGGCATTATTATTAATGCTTCGCCTGAAATACGCTCGTTTGTAATTGTAATTCTGCTGTCACCAGTGTCCGCTTCAGTTAAACTGTGTTCCTTTGCTATTTTAAATTCAGGACACCATCGAAACTTTTTTATGGCGGTCCTTTTCCTCGAACTCCGAATTGCAAAAGAATTTCCACGGCCGATTTGACTAGCAAGATTTATTTTATTACTCTCGTACAAAGTGTTTGATTGAACTCGCTATTCATTTGGACTTATACATTACGATAGTTCATGTTCAGGTGTCTTGTATAGTATCGAACAAATCAATCTCGTTTTCACCATGTCCGGTTGGAGTGATTTTCCTGTAGAGCTAGACGGGCCCGGTTGTAGATAGATAGATGTACACAGCGACTAAAATGAGCAATCGTAGTCGTTTGGAAATAACTATGTACCGTTACATACAATACACTATGATCTTTATACTGCCGACGTGATTTGCTATTCGACCGATTGTATCAAATTCATTTTTTGAATATCGCCATTAACACCTTGATTATCTTAAACATTTTCCTTATTTCGATTCACATCAAACGTTTGAAAATTCACCTATTCATCGTTTTAACTCTGTGGAATTTCATAATGCATCTTGCAATGAGGTTTCATTCACGCAGAGGTCCAGCTAGAGTCAAGTAGTGCATACTTTACATTAATTGAATTACATTACGGCGTGGACTCTTGTTTGACTCATAATAACCGCTTTTGACCGGTGATTATAGTGAGCTATGGAAGAAACTGGTCGGACAATGTCTGGCCGGTTTTTGAACCGTTTTTGATACGATGCTATGCTGTGACTTGACGAGTTAAAAGAACTCTAGCTTCGCTAGATGTTTCAGACTGCACAGACTGAAAGGGACTTAAAAAAAAAACAATCTTGAAATGTTTGGCAAACTATTTTTCTTCACAGTACAAAAAATTTGGTTCACGTGTCTGGTTTGATAAGTAAACATGTGATTTCCGCCGGCGCTTGCCTAATTACCAAAACAGTTCGTAGTCCTGAACAACCCCTGAACGCCAGGGGTGTGTCACGTGTCGCCGCGGGCGCGTCGTCGCACACGCGTCGACTAAAATAGACTCCGCTTAATCAGACACTATTTTTAAACCAACATTTCGGCTTGGAATTTCCTCTTATGGATAAAAGTTGAAGGTTTTCATCGGTAAAAATTTGCGAGTGATCAAGTGTTTGTCTCGATCAGCATCACATTGTTACTTATCATCGACTTGCTAAGAATGCAGTAGTTTAATGCAAATTCTTGGTATGTATTTATAGATTTCTATTGTTATCTGTAGTTATTATCTTACCTAAATAAATAATAAGCGATTCATCCACGTCATATCTACCATAACATGATTTGCACTGTTCATAAGCTGTTGTCGAAGTTTACTTTTGCAAATAATTACGTAAGTAGATGTGTGCTTTGGCCAACCAGTACAGTATGATGCTTAGTTATTTTGACTGTTCACTTGCTGACTAGAAGCTTATGGATCACGTCAATCAATTCATGTACTTCAAATCCAGGTAATGGAACAAGTAGGTTACTGCTTTACCCATGTTAATGCTAAAAACTAGGTTTCGTTTGAATAATTCCAAGTCTCTACATACGATATCCTCAGCCAGCAGTGCCCTTGAAACATACTTTTGATTAGTTAATACAAGTTTTTACTAAATTCCTTGTGTAGACGTCATCAAAGCTATAATGCTAGCTAATCTCTAGAGTTCAGTTCGAAACCATTTCAACTTCCAGGCCAGCTGGCCGCAGCATGTTCGGGGAGTAGTTAATAGTTAATCTTTATGACGTTAAGTGTTTTTATGATTAATGCATTCCGTTAGACTATTTCGAGTTCTATAAATGGTTTAGAAGCTTTTCTTTATCCCATCTATGTTATTAACCTTAACGTATGCGATTGAAAAACTCATTGATTTTCACACAATCAAATCATCTGTGATATGGGTACCACCATTTTCTCGATTTTTGGTAACTTTATGAGCTATTTTTGCTGAGCTATATTATAATAATCAATTATCTCATATATGTAATTATACTGTCATAAAGCGTTTGAATAACATATTGATCTAAAAGAAATATTGCGGATAAGATTTAATCCGCTACTGCAGATATCTTGCAGCAATGCGCGAAACAATAAGCAGGTATGCAAGTGATTGTGTTATCTTCGGTTGTAAATATAGCGGTGTGGGTGCGATAGCAGCCAGCAGCGGCATTGGAGTGCCACTCACGATCCGCTTTCGAAATTAAACTTATCAGAATGCTCACCTCCGCATTCTTTTGTTATAATTTGATACTGCATCACTTGCTGGTAGACGTCGCTCTTCGATCCGATTACGCGAGACTTGAGAAATATTCGAGAATTCGTTCAAAAGACTGTCAAATCTAATGGAGGCACCAGTTAAATTACTTTTGTACTTCTACGATTAGACTTTGGTTACATTTTCTAAGTTATTGTTTGTTATCCTTTATGTTCGAAGTTTATCCTTTAATCTTACCTTCATTTGATTGCATCAGAATAGGTACAAAATGTTTATAATCGTTTTTCCTTTTAAGCCATATGAGGAAAAACTTGCTTACATTTAAAACCCAACCACATAACTCGAGATGTACTTGACGTAGGTAGATATGAAATCATTTACTTAAATATTAAAATGCATTAGTGCCTTACCACGGTTACTTGATCCGTTCTCGCTTCTTATTTTTATTAAGTTAAAGCTTCTGTGTTTAAGTAACCCAAATGGGGTTATGCTGTGGTCGTGCATTAATGTGATTGTGTGTTATGTGAGGGGACGTAATCCTTTCTTGCGCACACCAGTCGTGTCCGGTTAATCCGTTGTCAGCACTTGGTCGACTCAAGCTGTCAGGCTGAGCGACGCGATCGAGATTAGATAGGTGAGTGGTGGCGAGTCGCGGCTGACGCGTGGTAGGGTCCGCCAAGGCCAGGGTCGCCGCCACACGCAGCAGCCTCACGTGTGCATTATGCTGAACGAGTGTGTGCGTGTGCCAAAGTCACCTTGTCTGGAGGGTCCCCATGTTTTCCGCCGCGTCGCGCTCGCGAGAGCTTTGCACGTCCACTTGGACATTCTACTGAGGCTCGGTTTGGTTGCTCAATGTCACGACTATCACGACCATCAACTTTATTCTCGGAATTTTCGTTGTTATTAGCCAAATACGAGTATAATCGGGCTAGCTAGATAAGAGTTTTACCGTTAGGAAAAAATACAATTTGTGCGACTTTTTCCTCTAACCGTGACTTATATGTCTAACTTTAAATGTATAACTATTAACATATTTTTGCATTAATCCTACGACACTCGAATCTCCATACAATGACACTGTAATAACACTTCTGTGCTGTAAGACTTTATTATTATACCCAAAAATATTTCAACTTGATGACTTTCTGACTAAGAAGATTTCCTTGTCTTCTGTTATCATTAAAGATTTCCTCGATTTCATAATATTTCCACATTAAAAATTGGGCACAATACATTGGTGAATTTATAGACTCTACATTGCTTCCCAGTCTGCAGCAGGGCCAGTAGGGGACCCTTAACAAGTCGCGTCGGCGTGAGGGCACTCGGTGCAAGTAATTTGTGGCATGCGCGGTCACGCGCGGCCCTTGCGAAGTCAGTATTTGCATACACCGCGCGATGGGAGGGCTCTGTACGGTCGCAATCGTAAACTGTTTGCTGGCTGCTGTGAAACTACCATAAAATTCATAACAAGCAATCATAAACATTTACTGTTGTCTTGTTTTGAACTACTGTTTAGTTTAAAAAGACCCATTTACCTTGTGGGCGCCTCTATTCTCTGTTTTTGTAAGTTCAAGGTTCCAGTTGTTGAGTGATGCTCTACTACGCTTAATTTCGTATAATTTTGCACAAAAACAGTTTTGAGATTATAACTACTGTCTACCATTCTAGTTTTTGATCCAGTGGTTAAAATTATGATAACATTGCCTATTTCGTCTTTGCTATTCTTAGTAAGAATTTATGTTCTTCATCCGCATTAGAATTTTGTTGTAGAAAAACTATTTCTATATCATTGCATTATCTTTTTTCTTCCAGCTTATTTGTAACTTATGAAATGAAAAGCTGTGATGGAAATTCCTGTTAATTTCCCGATTGCATTAACTTAATTCTCGCATTTGCTACCACTACAGATGAATACCTAGAAAATAAGTGTTTGCGACTGTACCGTGTTTGTCAATAAATGATAATGCTTATGTATGTGAAGGCACGAGTCTATTGTGCTTCGCGTTAACCTCCATATTTACTAAGATGACCAATAGTTGCGATTGCACTTTGTATTTACTCTGACATTGTTTTGTATAATATGTTGTTTTAGTTTATTCATTTACATTAAACTCCGACTGATCGATTTGTTCTGCTCTGAATGTTTGAAAACTGTTAAATTAACGTCAACCATCGATCTAAATGACTGGATTGTGGAACACTTTGTTCTGTGACTTTGTTTAAGTAATACAAGACCCAGTTATGGCTACTAAGTTCTAGTTTACTGTTTTTATAACCGCTAAAATTTCGACGCATTCTTAGACAAATTTCATAAATCTGCTGTTGCGTACGCCGCTGGAATGTGTACGAAGAAACTCCGCTTAGTCGTCAGAAGTAAAAATACATTACCAAAACAACTGGATGTGGCAATTCATGTGGCCCTGCGACCGCGGCCTGATGTAACCGCGGCGCGTGCGCGGCTGGCCGTCCATCAGGCGACTGGAGGAACTAGCCACTAAAATAGCCCCTTGCTTGCCTTAATTTTTGAAATTCGACGCACATAACTTTCTCAGTTTTGATGATATAGTACCGATTCACGATGTTTTACTAAGCCATGGCAACCGTGACTATTTTGGCAGCCACGCGAATCAATTGCCGAATCCATTGAAGAATTTTCGTTATTCAACACGACATTATTAACAAGTATTGTTAAATATTCTAATTGAAATAACAAAATAATTCACAAACAAATCTAAAGCACACATATTTGTGAGGCACATAAATGTTTTGAGAATGATAAGAAACAAAATGCATGTGATAATAAGCAGTCGTTTGCGTAATCGTTCAATCATTTATTGGTGTGGCATATCATTCCACATTGAATAAGCAACTCAATGATATGTGAATGGCAACAACACTGAGGTTAAAAGTGTGCAGTAAAATATATTTTTGTAGTCATTAATAATGAAATTGTCTTGTTATTGTAATAAAAAAGTCTCAGTTTCTGAGATACTGATTTAATTACTTTAGCTGTAGTAACTGCATCTATACCTACTGCTCACCCTTTGTAGTTATTGTATGACAAGAATAACAATTTGGAACGAATAGTAGAAGACCCCAACTCTGTAACTTCATTAATCAAACCATTGTGGCCGCCACTGCGTCACCTGCTCCACCGGGAAGTGGCTCTACGAAGACAATTGGTCTGGAATCCTAGACTGGATGGACTACGGCAATAGTCGGCGAGGCCACGGGAGGGGCTTCCTCTCGCGAGACAATTCACGACCATTCACGACCGCGGGCAAGGCCGCGCGGAAACTCTACATGCGCAAAGGAGATTGCCCATCGAAGTATGGACCACGGTACTTTGTTGCATCAATTCCAAAGTTGTTTTAAACGGTGTATAAAACAACAATTTACTATCCACATAAGTATTACAGGAATCAAAACTGGAGTTTTAAAGTTATTTAAGAAAACATAACATAACCTTAAACTCAAATCTTCTAGTTGTGGTGTTTGTTACTGGTTACAACTTATTTGAAGTAAAAATCAGTAGATAAACGATCCTTTTAAATGTTTGTTAACTTAAGTGAATAAAACACAAGTAATAACATGTAATTGAGTTTATTTGAGTACATAAAATCAGCATGTATATTTATGTCAAGGACAATTTAAAAGCAAAATAAGAAAAAATAATAAAGACTTCACTTTCCAAACAAACGCCGAAAAATATGGCTTTTTCATTTTGCTCTCTTCATAAATTATTACAAAATATTATGTAGAGAATCAATTTAGTATAACTACTGAATATGGATTTACCTTATTGGTTTCATTCATCATATTCATTGAAAAAATCATCTAAATAAGGTGCCGGGGCAGCAATGTCATTATAACGAGCCCAACTCAAAAACCACACCACTGTCATGATGTGAGCACAACAACCAACTGTTCGTTTGCCAACAAGACAACTACAGCAATAACCAGTTATGGCTTCTAAGCTGTTTGCTACAGCAATATCTTTACTTATTAACAAATAAGTATAGTATGTACGACTGCTAACATGCCTTGATTTGATTCTTCCTCTCAACAAATAGTTATTTAGTCCTAAAATCAGAGGAATATCGTCATCGATTTCATTGTTTATTTCAACAGAATATATTCCAGAATGCCGAACATGTTCTCCGTAATAGGATCTTGCTTGCTTTAGTTGGTAGGTACCTAGAGCGAATCTCTTCAGGTCTGTAATTAAAAGTTTTGGAAATCTCACTAAATGAGGATGATTGCCATCAATAGTTTGGAAGATAGCTCGTCTTCTGTTGAGATTTTCGTTTTCTACATAACTTGCCAAGTGGTTTTCAAGAAAAAGTCTATTTTTGGCTATTGCCACATATTCCAAAGCTTCCGGTGGATCATCTATGGCAACGTGGAACTTGTTTAATAATGCACAACCAATTTTAAAATCGTCCTTGAGGTGCATAGCAGCTCTGTTATTAAATACGTGACGAAACAACCTAAAATCTCTTTTTATCCTTCCGTTTACTACTTCTACAACCCAACGACACATTGTTACAAAACGAGACCGATTTGCCTGCTGTGTTGTTAGTTGATGTTCATTTTCCAGGAGAGACTCTGGCATATGTGTAACAAACCCATGCCCTTGGAGTTCATTAATTACATCTCTGAAACCTCTGTCGAGAAGAAAAATGTCACCTCTCCTGAAAAATGACCGGATACATGATTCTTCATCATTCAAGTTAATACTTGTAATTGTAGCATCATTAGTAGTGGCTTTGTATGGGCCAAGACATTCCAGAATGTGCCCATCACAGCAAACAATCAAAAATGGTTTGACCAAGTTATCAAGCTTTTGTAGGCTATAGGTCTGTTTTTGAAATAAATAGTTTGAACTACTTTGAACAAATACATAAGTAGCATCACAGATGACAATAGCAGGCTTAACATCAGCTGGCAAATCAGGGTTACTAAACAGTCCTTCTGGTATAATCTTATTGCGTGAAGCAACATCTTGAATTGACATATGATTAAATCCTAGTTGAAAGGGAACAAAATCATTTATTAAGGAATTTCTGGTCTTTGTCATCCACCGTTCTAGTGTAGATCGAGGCTTATTAAAAAGAGTTACCAACCTTTCATTGCTATCACCGGTTCTTAACTTTACCAAATAAACGGATAAGGCTATAGCAGCATTTGGTACTTGTTGACTTAGATTTGGAATGCAGTTTAGCAACTCATAAAATTGATCTGGGCTCATGCCAAGCCAGTAATGACATAAATGTGGAGCCATCATCCTAACATTAGAAAAATCAAATTGGTAATTGGCAGCTCGCTGCATCATAGACATAATACTGTCAAATTGTGTGCCAGTGAAATCTCTCAATTGGGAAGTTAACTCATTCCATGCACCATGATTTAAGTGGTGACTACATACACGTGCTCCAGATGGTACATAGAATTATGGTGATATAATAATAGGTCTTTTATAGCAGATGGTATTAGTAAACGTTCAGGCTCAAAACAATTAACAAACACACAGTGTCCTGGTGAATTTGCAGCTCGTTTATACAAAGCTGAGGTAATTTTTGGTGTTGCCTGTGGCACTATTTGTGGTCTTGATGGTGGAAGAGGAGGTGGCTCAGGAATACGCAAATCCACACTTGATCCAGCACCAGCCAGAGTGGGGCGATTTAAGTCATGCTGTTGTTGTCTCCGTACTTGTCTCGTAGCTGACCTCCAACAGGCAGCACATACACGTTCTAGTCTTGATACCTAAAAGATAATAAATAAATTGTATTAGTATTCATCCTATGAACCAGTCACCATTTGAGAACTTTTATTTATTAAAAATATTTACCAGGTGAAGTGGAACCAATCGCATTAAAAAGTTCCTTTCTTGACGACCATGTTGCACATGGTATGTTCTTGAAACTCGTAGAATAGAATTTCCACAGGGAAAGCAGACTCTTCTATGTCCAAAAGCAGGCAAAGGTATTGGATTTCCATCGCTCATTGTATTCACTCCAGTTTGAAGTAGTTCAAAACATTCTGTACAAATAATGCTTGCTGGAGATAGCTGTAATTAAAAATAATTTTATTTATTGCACTTTTTCATTAATTTTTACAGGATTCGCCACTGCATTAAAAACAGTACAAGAAAGCTGTACTAATCCACTTATTACTCAGCAAACATACATTATAACTGTTAGGATTAAGTCTTGGAAGTTCATGACTTTAAATAAGTAGATTAGAAAGAGACTCATACGCATCAAATCAAATAAAAATATAAACAGTTATAATTGTATCAGAGTCAAATGATATCTGCTCACCTGAGTAGGAGTAATCCATGTCTGTAATATATTGATCATTGGAGTAGATGCACTTTCCAATGTATGAAAGTGTTGGTTTCTCGGTATCAAATATGAACAATTGATACACCGGTTTCGCCGGTCAAATGTTCTTGCCACCACTTCCTCGTCCGGTATTGTAGACATGTTAACCAAAAGAAGCTACTCAGCTTGTAAAACACAACAAAACAATAGAAAAACGTCCTATCGTAACAATATTGTAAAAACGTCCTATCGTTGAATTACCACACACAATGCACAATACCGTTTATCACAGTACAAATGAAGAGTTAATAAAAGTGGAGAGTAAAACTCAATCAACACTCTAAAGCAAGTAAACACATGCCGCGTCGCAGTGAGCGTGACACTGACAGCGCACGTCACAGATGTTGCCAGTTTATATTTAATATGAAAATCGATTATTCGTTTAATGTTATTCGATTCTTTACCACACGTTGATTTTCTGCATAATATTTCGTATTAGAAGAGAGCAAAATATGAAACCATATTTTTCTTCGGTTGACGGAAAAGTGACGTTTTATTCTTTTCTTTTAAATTACTTTTTTCTGTCCTTGACACACGTACACGTCGACGTGAATTCAATCGTAATCGAACACAAACGATTAATTAATTAAATAACGGAATCACAGGCTTACGATTTTATTTGAGCTGATGGCGTTATATTTCCTGGAATGATTTTTTTTTATATTGTAATCGATTAAAATATCGACTGGAATTTCTTGCAACATTATTATTTATTTACTATGGCAACATTTTTGTATAATGCAGCAAAAAATTATGTTATTTTCTAATCAATAAAAAATCTTTTTAAAAACTGAATTAAATCCCCGGTTCAAAACAAGCAGAAAAATGGCAGAACGACTTCTAAAATAAACATTTTAATTAACATATGTTTTTTCTTTTGAAGCTTGAGAAAAACCAGTACCATAAATGGGCAATCTCCTTTCTAAACGGTGTTTTCGGAGAATCGTAAAGAGCATCCGGATTTTTCGTATTTTATTTTTGAGTCAAGTTCAAAAGTGAGCTGTGCTGCAGAATACTATTTTCGAAATCCGTTGAAATGCTTATTCTGGGAATCTTTTTTCTCATTCCCAAATTTTCCCTCACATCAGTTCAATTTGTAATTTTTGAAATGATGACCAACATAATGTTACTCGATAGAAATACGGTTAATTTTGGAAAAGAAAAAGTTATTAACAATTTATAAGTTTGTTGTTGTTGTTCATAAAGTAACAAAAATGACCACTACTAATATTGATCATCATCGGCTCGGAGCGTGAGTCAGATGATCTCGCGTCATCCACTTGAGCGCGGACGGCATACAAATGCTTGTGTATTTAAATTTTATGTTATTGTGCTGTAATAGCACCACATAAACATTAGTTGGAACACAAATTGCTCACTCTACATACTGTTTTTACTTTATAAAAGTTATTGCTTTTGTCTTTTGATTGGTGGGCGGAAAATGAAGATATTAGGCTATCTTGAGCTACTTTTTATATTTCTCGTAAATAACTTATCACGTTTGTTATCGCTTGACATTTCGGACACAAGTTCACAAAGTCAATTGGTCTGTTCACACATGGCTCTATTTATAAGAATTCGAACAAGCAACAGACGCGTTAGGGCGTGATAACGTATCGCTGTTATTTTTACCGAATTCCTCAGGTCGGGCGTACCTGCCGCGCGTCGCTCGACGCGTGCTGCGCTTGCTCAATCGCGCCGTTTGCGTTTCGACAACTTCGCCGATCACTCGAGTGTCGACATCTGTGACATTAGATGATATTGGACCACCGTCTAGTGGGCCACTCTCCAGATACAAAAATATTGCTTGGTTTTCCCCGACGATCTTTTTGTGAGCAGTTTACACACGCATTCTTCCAATATCAGTCAACAATCACTAAAAACTCTCAAAAGGCAAAGTTTGCTTTTCTATAAAGATTCTAAATTAAACATTAGCTCACACAAAAGTCTAGCCTTATATTATGGGTTCCGAAGTTTCTGATCTTGTTCGTAGCTGAGTAGCTGATGTAGACTAGATGAATGAATGAAGTAGACTAAACTTTTGAGAGCTTCATTGATAAAACTAACAAGAAGTATTATGTAACACAATGTCGAGAGAAAAGCTAGAACGCTACACGTGATTCTGATCGTCACAGCGGAGCACTTTCGGGAATGCTACGCTAGATTATATTAATATTGGCTGAATTATTAACAACTAGGAAACAATGATTCATTCGAATGTTAAATTGGACTTGCAAGGCCAGAGCACTCATGGCTTGTTATTTAGTTTGCTATTTTAGCTTGCAAGCAACGAATTGGATGGAAGTATGTGTAAATTATAAGAACATGATCATTTCTAATGACAATCTAAAAAGATTTTGTAACGTAAATTAAAACTTAACTATAGCATTTTTGCAACTTTACATAGTCGATTTGGGTCACAAAATTCGATTAGTCTGTTTCTTTTATTGGCTTATCCAATGCCGCGTACGCGAGTACTTGCGGCCGGCAGGATAAATCCATAAAGAGAAGCCGAGCCGTTGCATCACCGTCAATTGGTCAGCATTGCGCAACTCCGCCGGCCCACACGGGAATTGCCCCATTTTCCCCCGTTCGCACTTAATTGCCTCATCAATGACCCCTCTTTCTTTGTTTTGAACCCACTGGCCATTGCATTGCAACTGCAACAGATCATTTAACACTATTTACATGCGTGTTTGCCAATCGCCTTTCAAAAGTGCCTCGGTCGCTCGGAGACTTGATAATTAATAATGTAGAGCGAGCATAGTAGTATTGAAGTATAATCCACTAAAGAGTTTATTTCTATGTTACAAAAAGTTAGCCTAGTGCTAAATCTAATCAAATAGATTAAAGATGCGTAACTGAGCATAAATCGGTCAGTAATAAACGCCAAGCCACAGCCAAGCGTAGCTCTACATTTATTTATTTCTACACTCTGTTTACAATCGGCGCCGATTGAACGCTAATGTTTTCATTTTGTTTTTCGTCGTACGCGAGATTAGTAATCAGCGGCGAGCAATAAATGTCGGAGACAATTCTGTATGCGGCTAAACTTGGCTGGTGACGATATCATGCGCGAAGTCCACGCACAAAGGATGAGGCCTTCGTACTGTCTTACTCACTAACAATGATTCCGTTTACTATTATCAGCTCTTCATTGTTGTGGACTCTAATAAATGTACTAAAACTAGAAATTTAAAATTGTTCGGTATTCGATGTCCTCAATGAATATGGCATCTCATATTCTAAAGTATTCTGTCTAATCAATCTTTCGAAAAAGTTACAACGAATATATCTGTCATCATCAGCACACATCGCACAAGGATTATCCATCGGATAGCCAATTAGTCACGTTTTAATGTAACTTCGTTCGTCAGCCCTTTGATCGTTCCCCGCGGATGCCACACATTGATCGGGTAATCAGTGGCGCAAGTAAAAATAGCCAGCTCATTGTCGGATTTGTTGGTGCTGGTGTAAGCCGTGGCGAATGGGCCACGCGGGCGATTAGTCGTGTAAATGTGGGCTTTGGTTCCGGCAGCGCACCTTTGATCATCCACCAGCGCTTAATGTTGTGCCGTAGCCCGTAGCCGTAGCGCGCCGACCCTCACGCGTGACTCACCCGCGCCCGACTTGAACCTTTCATCCGATTCGACATTGAATTATCATTGAGCTTGTTTACATTTGCATGCAATTACGGACCTTTGAAACTTGGACCTGCCTGCGAGAGGTTTAAAAATAACATGTTTATTCTGCGCTGTAGGCATTCATGTTTTTCTATGATTAACAATTTGCAGAGTTTATCCTAATAGATTTGTTTGTCTGAAACACGTTGTGTTTTTATCTAGTCCAATTCTGCCAATTCATGGTCATCAAATTGCCATTGTTATTTTTTATTGTAGAGTTTTAATCAGAACGAACAAAATCTAAGCAATTGTTCCATCAAACATGTCATGTCCATTGTACCTATCTGGTTTTGTTTTACATCGTAAACTAGAATCGTCAATAATAAATTTCAGACCTTACAATTATGGTCAAAACTTCCACAAGCTGTAGATGCCGTCTACAGGCACACGGGGCGTGCGTCATCGGGGTCAGCCGGCCGCTTATGTAATCACGCGCACTTACTTGTTGCGTCTGGGCTCTGGCGGACTCGGTACATGGGAAGGCGTTGAATGGATTTTGTATAGTTTTGTGTAATGAAATACACCCTCTATGCTATGAGATCATCATAGAAGGAATAATAGAGAATGTGGTAAACTTAGTTCTTAGAAATCAGGTTTTCTCTCTCAATACTCAAATATTTATTGCTAACTATAATTTATTCCAACCTTCCGGGTTAAACCTGGTTACGAGATCTTGCGCGAAAGTAGACGTCAAGTTGGGCATAGTACTGATAATACGCAAAAGGTGTTATTTTGGTCGAGACGCCTACGCTACGTCGTGCAGGGAGTTTATGACCGACAGCAGAATTTGTAGTGTCGGCTCTTATTGTTGCTGCAGGCATTGCTTCATAATGTTGATATTGATTACAGTCTTAACACTTCATAAAATTCCGTGTTCGTTGACTATACCGACTTTATCTCACAACCTTTAGTTACTACTATTACTTCTAGATTGTTTTGGTTGATTTCAGAACTCGATGGATACAGTGATTATCTGTCAACTGTTAGTTACTTCTTTTACCGCCACTCTGTAACTAAGCAACCACCGGTCCTACTATCTCTACGTAGTGTCCTCTCATCTCGATAAAATCTTAATATCATGTTGTGTATACTTTTTGCATATTTTTACATTATGTTGATGTTATTATGAATCCTAAAGTAGAGGTCCCGTTAAGAATGTAGGGTCATGTTTGAGCTGTGAGTTACTCACGGGTCAAAGGCTGCATAGTTGGTCACAAAGCTATGGTTACTGTTTTGGCATTTGAAACAAAACAGGCAACGTCACAACAGAAGAACGCAGCTTATGTGGGTTCTACTGGTTCTCCTTTATAAGTGGGCGACTGGATGTGTGCCTGGCTATGACATATCGGTCCGGTAATGCAAACAAG